CCCCTGGCCGCCACCACCTCCACCTCCACCTCCAAGTGGGATATACTTGGCTCGTTTGGTTTTGGTTTATTAAAATTATCTTTTTTGCATAAGACATGCTTCTCTTTGGGGCCTTGTGGAGTTGTGGTGTAAGTTCACATATTCTTGCTAGGTGCTATCCCCGTGTGGGCCTCATCCATTGGCCGGGGAAGGCCTAAATTTTTTCGCATTCATTTGGGGAGGGAGAGGGTAACAATTTGCATGTATCTTGTTAGGATTTAGTCGGGCCAATACTATCATTTCCGTCACCAACATACCACCCACATGCAAAATGCACGACTTAAAGCGTGGTTGGATGACTGTTATTATCTTCCGAACTCATATTTTTCCTTATTGTCTTGTTATGCAGGGCCATGCAACGATGCTGCCACACCCCACAACCACACCTGCTGGCTTTGAAACACCGTACACACAACAAAACTCTGAAAACAGGGTGGCCCAACCCACGGGTGCAAGTGGAAGTGCACCAACAAACATTGGCTCTCCAAGTAATTGCCAACCATCTTCCCATAGGGCTTCATCGGTCCCTTCCAAATCTCTCCATTCTCCGTCTCTTGAGCAAACCCTCCAAAGTGGATAAACATTGTATATGGCATCGTCTACATTCGAGGTAACATAATCATCTAGCTGCAAACTGTTTAAGGGTATGCAGGATAGGACGAGGCATGACAGAACAAAACCTTCTTGTCCTGGTGGGATATTTAGACTCTGACAGGATTGGACATGACTGAGTGGAACAAAAATACATTTTTTGTCCCACCAAAATAGATGGAACAAGAATCACGGAGACGGACAAGATTGGTAAATTACTAAGTCATCCATGTCAAATTAAAACCCTAAAACCCTGCAAAATTCTCTAACCCGTCGAGTTTTGTCTCTCTTGTTTTGTCTTGTCCTGCCCAGTCTCATTTGTGTATCAAATGCACCCTGAATATAAACATGAATCTGCTAGCCGGATCAAATTGAACCCGACATTTTTAAATGTTGGAAATTATGCCTTTTCGACTTATATGGTTTACATTGACTTTATTAAAAAGTCAAGTGTTTTACGATGTCTTTTGGCTTGATTTTAACTCAAATGAATTTTTGGATATTTGTCCGGTTTTAGTGGCTCAATATGAAGCCTTAGATGTATGATTCGTTTATTGCATATTTGATTATTATTGTTTTGAGTGCATTCGTCATTCAATTGGTGTCTTGTAGTTTTAGACTGTAATGCATTTGATCCGTAGACATAGGAGTCTGTCTTGTTGTTAAGCGTGGAGTTTTGATTTCCCCACTTAAGACTAGCTAGTGGTCCCCAAGTCATGGGTAGGTTGGGTTGTATACGAAGTTGTTAGCCTGCTATGGTACTCGGTTGAGTCATTTAGACTTTAGGTCTTGCGGTATTGCTTATTGGAGCCCTATATGAAGACCAATAACTTTGGTTGAGACTCATTTAGAGATCGAGTAGACACTAGGGCCATTTTGGGAATCTTGCGGTGGTACTCACTGGATTCGTATACGGGGTTCCATGACCAGAGGTGAAACTCGAGAATGTTGATAAGTGGCCTAAAGTGTGTTCTCACCATATTCGATGGAATCAGGTCTCCCTCGTCACCGAAATATATTGTTTTTGGGTACTTCATTACCCAGACTTTCGGTGTTTTCAATATGTAGTCTTGTCTGTATATTTTATGTTTAAAAGTTTGCACCTTGTGCATGTTTCAGGTGAGTTCGAATTGGAAGCAATGAGATTTGTAAATATGTTCCTCATCATTTATGTTTTTAAAGGATGAGTTGTGGTATAAAGGAAACATATTCGTTTTAATTGTTTTATGTTCTATATAATGAAACTGCTTTAATCCATTAAGCGTTAAAGCTAACATTTTTTCTTATCAACATGTATATCAGGTCTTAGTGGGATTTGAGTGGCATTTGGAGTTCCATATTCTAGTAGGATGGCTTTAGAGGCATCATCCGTTTTATGAAGATAGCAGAGCTAATGGTTTTAGTAACACCTGACTTATTCTAATTCTGTTTGAGAATTAGTTAGTCCGAATTAGACTTTTATACTTATTTTTTTCTTTCTCCTTTTGTAAACTTTAAGCATTTTGTTATTAAAGTTACTTTAATTAAAGGATTTTGGAAGTTTTAATTTGTCTACTATTTTCTAAATTTAAGGGTGTCACATATTATAAAAGAACAATAATGGTAGTTGAAGTAACATTATAAGATTTGAGTATTATCAAAATTTTGAATTGTGGTGGTGTTTGGTTATACACATTGGTGAGAAGATGATAAATTGGAAGAAGAAAGTTTGGCATAAGAATGGAGGAGTGTATTTCTAGCAATACAGAGGGTTTGTGTTATTTTGAATGACCTGTTCATCAGTATATCAATATATATTATTGAAGATTTCGGAATGATTTTTATTTATGTTATTGACCTTTATGATCATTTCTTACCACCTATACACTTTAACCCACTGATTTTCTATCTGAAATCTCTCTCAAGATTACTAAACATTCCCCCTCATTGCTCAAGCTGGTGAATACAAAATCTTCCATTCCCATCTTGCTAACATTCTCATGAAACACGTTGTTATAGAATCCATTTGTAATCATATCTATAAGCTCAAGTCATGTCCGAACAAATTGTTAATGCCTATAAATTCATAGTTCCTAGTCAGAATATATGTATATATATATATATATATATGTATATATAATGTATATATATGTGTATGTATATAATGTATATATATGTGTATGTATATGTATATGTATATATGTATATATATAGGGGTTAGTTCATGTGAGGATCAAAAAAATGTTGAGAACCATAAGGACCAATCTTAATCATTAATTGAATTTAATTTACGGCTATGAAAAGTGATGACATTTTTGTGATACTTTTGAAATTTGAAACTAATTATTAGATAAATGATAAGTTGAAAAGACATTCTAGACATTTGACATCAAATTCATAGTCAACAATGACGGCTATCAAAATTATATTAATTTATACAAAAATTTTAAATAAAAAATATATCAATTAAAATGAAGTTTTAAATCAACAAATTTGTATAAAACACGAACGTTTTATTTTCTTTAATTTGATAGAAATATCATATTTTTATTTTTTATTTTTTGAATAATTACAATTTTTACATGAAACAATAAAAGTGTTAAGTCGTATGTTATTTCAGTTTGTGAAACAGCACTTTAGTATTTCACATTATGTTTCACATCATTTTTTATTTCTTTTTACATGGTGAAACAACACTACATTTGTAACACCCCATAACACAAATTGCATGTAACACATTTCATACAAAAGAAATACATGATATTATCTCATACAAGTCCCTTAATACAAGAATCCATTATAACCAAATACAAGGTTCAAAAATTCAAATATATTTCTTGTACCAATCAATTAAAATTATACATCAAGACAGATTTCCATGTAGAAATGCGAATAGGAAAAATATCAAATTTTCTCTTTTCCTTTACCGACCGAACCTCCTGCAATACATAGTCAAAATCACAAAACGAGGTTTAGACCGAAAGGTCTAGTGAGATACCCTATTATGATATTGCAGGGTGAAAATCACCAAAACCTTTATGAAAAACAACTATTCATATATATAACAAATATATAAACGAATAGGAACAAAATACCAAATCTTTTCCACTTTTCAAGCTAAGCATTTAGCTATTCAAATATCATACATTTGAACCAGCTAGGTTCCATATAATGTCACTTTTAAACCTTTTCAAATCAACAAGGTTATTTAAAATATCAAGCCAAACCTGTTATTTTTTCCTCAATAACATCCAGATTATGATTTCCAATAAGAACCTTGATCCTAAATCTGTAAATCACAAAGAAATAAAGATTTCAGACCACGGTAGTCTTAAGGGATATAATAGAAAGAGTTATATCATACAACACACATACAAATGTCACCCTTATATCAAATGTACATATCTCCTTGATATGTCACCCTTATCTCATGGTACACCTCTCCTTGATATGTCACCCTTATCCCATGGTACACCTCTCCTTGATATGCCACCCTTGTTTCCTCATCAAAACATTTCACAAAAATAATTTCAAATAGACCGCAGTCATTGAAATTATTATCAATCCAAAAATCATTTATATCAAATCTCCATTTTATGATAAAATAACAATTTTATCAATCAAGCACAATGCACTATACAAATCCAGTCAACATAGACTTGGTCGGACTTCATCTCCGGTCAAGTCTTAGCCGGTTTACCAAATCCGGACAACTCACCGCCCAAGGCTTGTCCGATTTAACACTTAGATAAATTCCATCTTTTGTCCGGATAAAAAGTCCGGATAATACATCGTTCAAAGCTTAACCGATTTAAAATAATCTGGTCACCACATGGTCGTATTCCTACTTCTCCATTCAAAATGTTAACTATTCTTATCATTCATAACTCGCTCAAAGCTTAACCGGTTTAAAACTAAACCGCTTAACGCTTGATCGGTTTAGAGCTTAATCGCCCAACTTTTGACCGATTTAAACTTAATCTGGTCAGCCTTTGTCCGGATAAAACCCTTAAGAAAAATAACTGATTTATTCCCAATAATAAATAACATTCAAATAAAACCAGTAACAAGTTTTATGCAAAAATGTTTAGAAATTACTCACCTTAACAAGCCCTTTTGAAAACAACCTTCTTGAAATCAGATACTTGAAATCCGGTCACTCCCTCTATCCTTAAATTGCACAACTTTTAAAATAGGCAAGAAGAAGAGAATGGAGACTTCAACCTCCTTTTATATCTTTCTAAAACTGGAAGGTCGGCTAAACAGCCTCCTTCCCATGCTAACCCACTTCATGCATATGCATACATCCACACACCATGCATTATCATAACATGCATGAGTGTATAATCACACACACACACACACACACACACATATATATATATATATATATATATATACTTCTACATATGTACATAATCTCATACATGTATCCATATTATGCACATAATTTCCACACACATTAGCATGATCAAATAAACCAAATTTATCATGCTATCACGTAATCATTTAATTAGATAATCACATATTAATTACCTTGGGTGATAACCAAGATCCAGTTATCACATTATCCACCCCTCAAAAGAATTCCGTCCCGGAATTCCTTTAATCAAAGAGCCAAGGGTATTCTGATCTCATCTTTGACTCTAGTTCCCATGTTGCTTCTGGTCCTTTGTGAAACTTCCACTGAACTTTAACCAGACTTATCTTTTTGTTTCTCAACACCCTGATCTTTTGATCAATTACGGCTTTTGGTATTTCCACAAAGTTCAGCTTACTGTCTAATTTAATCTCTGGTATCGGTATAACTAGACTCAGATCGGCTAAACATTTCCGCAGATTCGACACGTGAAAAGTGTTGTGAATCAGACTCAGTTCTTCTAGCAGCTCTAACTGATATGCTACCGGCCCAATTCGCTTACATATTCTGAACGACCCCACATACCTCGGACTGAACTTTCTTTTCTTTCCAAATCTGATAACACCCTTCCATGACGAAACTTTTAAGATTACAAAATCACCTATATCAAATTCAATTGGTTTCGATGATTGTCAGCATAACTTTTCTGGCGATCTTGTGCTATTTTGATTCTTTCACGGATATGTTCGATTTTTTCAATAGTTTCTTGGACAATCTCAGGACCCGTCAACTGTTTTTCATCCACCTCATTCCAACACAACAGCGTTCAGCATTTACGTCCATACAACACTTCATACGGTGCCGCTTAGATGCTGGAATAGTAACTATTGTTATATGCAAACTCTATTAATGGCAAGTGATCTTCCCACGATCCTCCGAAGTCAATAATACAACTTCTCAACATATCTTGTCTGGATAGTTCTTTCACTCTGCCCATCAGTTTGCGGATGATAAGCTGTACTTAGTCGGATTTCAGATCCCAAAGCTTTCTGTAACCCTTCCCAGAACTTTGAAGTAAACCGACTATCTCTATCAGAGACAATAGATAATGGAACGCCGTGTCTTGTAACAATTTCTTTGATATAAATCTGCGCTAGCTTTTCTAAGGAGTACTTCTCTCTTATTGGCAAAAAATACGCAGATTTGAACAGACGATCAACAATTACCCAAATTGCGTCGTATCCCCTTGGAGTTCGAGGTAACTTCATAACGAAATCCATGGTAATGTGATCCCATTTCCATACAGGTATCTCTAAAGATTGAAGACTTCCATACGGCTTCTGATGTTCAATCTTAACCTGTAAACATGTCAGACACTGTTCCACATATCGAGCTATGTCTCTTTTCAATCCTGGCCACCAATAAAAAGGTTTCAAATATCTATACATCTTATTGGTGCCTGGAAGAATAGAGTATCGGGACTTATGGCTTTCATTTAATATCATATTTCGGATATTTCCAAAACATGGTACCCAAACTCGCCCTTGAAAGCACATTAGTCCTTCATTATTCTGTTCCAAAGTTGAAATCATCTTACCCAACCTTTCTACTTTAACAAATTCTTCTTTTATAGCTTCTTGTTGGCATCTCTGAATTTCCTTACGAATGTCGGGGATCAAGTTCATTCTCATTACCACAGCTTTAATGGTTCTGCTCTTTTCTTTTCGACTTAAAGCGTCAGCCACCACGTTAGCTTTTCCCGGGTGGTAAAGGATTTCACAATCATAGTCATTAACTAGTTCAATCCACCGACGCTGTCGCATATTTAATTCCTTCTGGCTAAACAGATGTTGTAAAATTTTATGATCAGTATAAATCTGACATTTCGTTCCCAAAAGATAGTGTCTCCAAATTTTCAGAGCAAACACCACTGCAGCTAATTCCATGTCATGGGTTGGATACTGCTTCTCATGATCTTTCAATTGTCTTGACGCATAAGAAATCACTTTTCCTCTCTGCATCAGAACACATCCTAACCCTAATTTTGAGGCATCGCTATAAACCACAAAGTCTTCAGATCCATCTGGTAGAGTCAATATCGATGCGCTACAAAGATGATCTTTTAACAGTTGAAA